ATTTAACGTCGCGGCACGACTCAACACTTCATCACACATCAACCAAATCTACCGAGGTCTTGTATCGTTTAATATCACCACCCAATAGTGTTTTACTCGCTGCCCATTCACCAAGAATGTACCACTTGAATTTATGTCCGACAATTCAACTGTTCCATGAGGAGTCACACTTACCATAACGAAAGGGCCTGTCCAACGGGACTTAAGCTTTCCAGGAAAAAGCTTTAGCGTTAAATTAAACAAGAGACCTTCTTGACCCGGCTCAAACTCACGATGTTGGATTTGCTTGTCATGCCACCTCTTGGTCCTTTCTTTATACAACTTGGCATTTTCATAAGCAAGCAACCGAAACTCATCAAGTTCATTAAGTTGTAGCAGTCTTTTTTCACCGGCTAAGTCCATATCCATATTTAGTTTTTTGATTGACAATAAGCTTTGTGTTCTATCTTAACGGGCAAATGACATGCCTTCCCATAAACCAACATGTACGGAGAAGTACCTATTAGAGTCTTGTATGCAGTTCGGTAAGCCCACAATGCATTTTCTAACTTATCGGACCAATCTTTCCTATTTGCACTCACTGTTTTCTCCAAAATCTGTTTTACCTCTCTGTTTGACACTTCAACTTGACCACTCGTTTGAGGGTGATACGCAGTAGCAACCTTGTGTCTTACCCCATATTTTGCTAGAACATTTTTCAATAATTTGTTACAAAAGTGTGTTCCTCCATCACTTATCAACACTCATGGAGTTCCAAAGCATGTGAAAATGTGCTTCTTTACGAAACTTACCACTACCTTTGCATCATTAGTAGGAAAAGCAATGGACTCAACCCACTGAGATACATAATCGACTGCAACCAAAATGTATTTGTGCCCATTAGAGTATGAAAATGGTCCCATGAAATCAATTCCCCAGACATCAAAGAGCTCTACTGCCAAAATATTTTGCAAAGGCATCTCGTTCCTCTTCGTGATTGTACCTGTTCTTTGACACCTGTCACAATTTTTAACAAAAAGCATGTGCATTTTTAAACAATTTTGGCCAGTAAAAACCTGATTGCAAAACCTTTTGTGACGTTCTGTCTCCAACATGGTGACCTCTATAAAGAGAAGCATGATATTCATGCAATATTGTATTCATCTCCTCCTCAGGGACATACCTTCTTACCAATTGATCTGCGCATTGCTTGTATAAAAAAGGCTCGTCCCACATGTAAAATCTCACGTCATGTAAAAATCTTCTTCTATGATCATCTGTGAATGCTGGTGGAGTCACCCCACTTGCAATGAAATTCACATAATCCATATACCATGGGGTTTCATCTGAAGTGATGGCTAGTAATTGTTTATCATGAAATGTTTCTTTAAGTGATTCTCCCTCAGTGATATGGCCTCGATTTTCAAACCGAGACAAGTGATCTGCAACCTGATTTTCTGTCCCTTTTCGATCTCGAATCTCTAAATCAAATTCCTACAAAGGAAGAACCCATCGGATTAACCTTGGTTTGGAATCTTTCTTTGCAAATAAATACCTGATAGCTGAGTGATCTGTGTAAACTATGACTTTGGTTCCCACTAGATAGGACCTGAACTTATCAAATGCACATACTACTGCAAGCAACTCTTTTTCAGTAACAGTGTAATTCATTTGTGCTGGATTAAGAGTTATGCTCGCGTAATGAATGGAGTAAAAGATTTTCTCCTTCCGCTGCCTCAAAACAGCTCCAACGGCTCTGCCACTTGCGTCACACATCAACTCAAATGAAAGTTTCCAATCTGGAGTAATGATAATTGGTACAGTAACTAATCTTCTTTTCATCTCATCAAATGCTTTCAGACAAGCATCATAAAACTTGAAGGATGTATCTTTCTCAAGAAGCCTACACAAAGGAGATGAAATTTTTGAAAAATCTTTAATGAAATGATGATAAAAACCTGCATGGCCCAAGAAACTGTGAATGCCTCTAACTGATGTCGGTGGAGGTAATTTTTCAATTGCTTCCACCTTTGCTTTATCTACCTGTAATCCATTCTTGGACACTTTGTGCCCTAAGACGATACCTTCTCTTACCATGAAATGACATTTTTGCCAATTCAGTACCAAATTTGTTTCTCCACACCTAGAAAGTACCTTGTCAAGATTCATTAAACATTCATCAAAAGAACATCCAAATACAGAAAAATCATCCATAAATACTTCCACAAATCTTTCAACCATATCAGTAAAAATAGCCATCATACACCTTTAAAAAGTCCAGGTGCATTACAGAGACCAAATGGCATTCTTTTAAATGCATATGTCCTATAGGGACATGTAAATGTGGTCTTCTTTTGGTCTTTTGAGGCTATAATAATCTGATTATATCCCGAGTAGCCATCCAAAAATCAGTAGTATTCCTGTCCAGCTAATCTATCAAGCATTTGTCAATAAAGGGGAGAGAAAAATGGTCTTTTCGGGTGGCATTATTCAATTTTCTATAATCTATGCAAATCCTCCACTCAGTAATAGTTCGAATGGGAATCAGATCATTGTTTTCATTTTTCACTGCAGTCATTCCCCCTTTCTTTGGAATACATTGGACTGGACTTACCCATTTGCTATCAGAGATTGGAAATACAATACCTGCATCAAGCCATTTAATCACTTCTTTTCTTACCACATCTTTCATGTTGGGATTTAGGCGGCGGCGTTGTTCTATGATCGGCTTGTGTCCTTCCTCCGTGAGAATTTTATGCATGCAAAAAACTGGACTAATACCTCTTATGTCAGACATTGTTCACCCAATTGCTCTTTTATGCTTACATAGAACTCTCAGCAATTTTTCCTCCTGCAATTTAGGCAAGTCAGAAGAAATAATAACAGGTAACGTACCAGAACTAGCCAAATAAGCATAATGAAGGTGAGAAGGTAAAGGCTTTAGTTCCAATTTTGGAGCTTCTTCAATTGATGTCTTCAAAGGAGGACCATTTGGCCTGTTCAAAGGTTCAAAGGGATTTAAACCTTTCATAAATTCACATGATGCATTCAAAATATGCGTCATCTCTTCAACCTCATCATTAATCTCCAAACTCTCAAACAACACGATTTCTTTCTCTAAAGAATCCTTCAAATATACACTTGGGTCAATAAGTTGCTCATCCATATCTATGACAAATATCATAGACAACTCTTCATAATGGCGAGAAAGTTGAATTGATTTGTATATATTAAAAACAACTTCCTCATTGTCAACTCTCATGATCATTTTTCCTTCTCTTACTTTAATTATAGCATCACCTGTAGCCAAGAGAGGTCTTCCCGATATAATAGTAACTTTTTCATCGACTTCAAAATCCAAGATATGAAATCAGCCGGGAAAATAAATTTTCCAATTTTCAGCAGCACATCTCCAATCACCCCTTCCGGGTAAGCTATAGACCTGTCTGCTAGTTGCAACATCATAGTGGTGGGTGTTGGAGCTCCCAAACCCAATCTTTTATACAAATACAATGGCATCAAATTTATACTCGCTCCCAAATCACAAAGTGCATGGCCTACATCAACATTACCTATCCCCATAGGGATAGTAAAGCTACCAGGATCCTTAAGCTTTTGAGGAAGCTTATTTTGGACCCTTGAAGTGCACTCCTCAGTAAGTGCAACTGTTTCAAATTCAGTCAATCTCCTCTTGTTAGCCACAATATCTTTTATGTACTTGAATACTTTGGAATTTCACGAATCACATCTACCAATGGAATATTCAATTGAATCTAACTCAACATAGAGAGAAATTTGTTGAACATGCGATCATCATTCTTTTTCTGCAATCTTTGTGGAAAAGGTGGTGATGGCCTTGGAACATTCACAGGCGTTGAAATTGTATCATCTTTCTTTGTTTCCTGTGTTTCTTTGGGAATCAATTCACCCTCAGGTATAAGCTTGTCTTTTCTCTTCTTTGGAACTTATTCTAATTCCCTTCTAGTTCTAAGTGTAATTGCACTAACTTGCGAATTTTTCTCTGTATCACTTAGAAGAGCACCTGCAGGCCTAGTGTTTTGATTTGCAGCTAGTTGTCCCATTTGTCTTTCCAGATTTCTGAAATCAGTTCGGAGTTGTTGATTGTCATGTAACAATTTCTTCAACAAATCATTTGTACTTTTTTCTATCTGTTGGAGTGGCCTTTGAGGTTGATTAAAATTTCCTTGGGGTCTATATTGATTCTTATTTGATTGATTTCCACCCCAGGAGAAATTAGGATGATTCCTCCAATTTGGGTTGTAAGTGTTCCCATATTGTGCCTGTTGATTCATCGGACCTCTGTTTTGTTGTCCCACGTAATAAATAGATTCAGGATTCGTAGGGCACATATCACTCGTGTGATTGTCACCACTCATTTCACAACAAATCGACATTTGTTGAAAATGTTGCATTTGTTGTGTTTGGTTCATTGTCATTCTACTCATTTAATTGATTGATACCCCTGCTGCTTTCTGTTTCATTGATCTCCTTGGTTCTCTCTCACCTTACCAATTATGATAATTAGCAGTAAAGTTGTTTAGCAGAAGTTGTATTTCACTATACGGTCTCGCCATCCATCTACCTCCACAAGCTAAATCAAGATTCATCTTTGAAGTCTCATCTAATCCATCAACAAAAGCATGGCCCAATACCTCATCAGTTTGACAATGATGTGGACAGTCTCAGAGTAGTTTCTTGTATCTTTCCAAACTTGTCGAAGAGTCTCACAATCTCATTGTGAAAACCCAAGAATCTGGCTCCGCAGACTTTGTCTTTTTAGTGGGTAAAAGCTTAAATTAAGAATTTCTTTGCTAAATCATCCCAAGTATGGATTGAATTAGCAGGCTCCCTCTGCAACCATTCTTTAGATTCCCCCAACAATGAAAAAGGAAACAAGGTCAACCTAACATAGTCCACATTTGGATAGTTGTAAGTATCCGTGATTTTCAAAAAATTCTGAATGTGCCTCTGCGGGTCTTCATGAGATATACCTACATATTGCCCAGTGGACTGAATCAGCTATACCATGTACTGTTTAAGCTCAAAGTGACCAGTGATATCAGGCTTCACAATAGCCTGAGTCATATTAGCAAGATTTAGCCTTACAGCTTCTATCACCGGACGCCCTCCATTACCTGCCATCACTGTTGGTTGTGGTTGAACTAAAATGTCCTAATCTCTTTCTGTTTTGTATCTAACTTCCAACTCCTTCCTTGCTCTATAAAGTATTATTTTAATTTCAGGATCAAGAGGGAAGAGATTGTTTGTGCTTCTACTCCTCCGCATTCAAGAGAAGAGCCTGCGTGACACAAACAAAGTGAACAGAAAATTAATGCTTAAACCAATAGCTAATAAAAGCTTAACTCAATCAAGTAGCTAATTCTAAGTCCCCGGCACCGGCGCCAAAAACTTGTTGCGACCAAAACACTCACGCAAGTGTACGCGATCTTCAAGTAATATAATAATAAGTAAAGTATTATTCCCACGAGGAATTATGATCAACTTATCGACTGATGTAAACTCAAATAATTATCGATTAAGCTAATTCAAAACAAAATACATAAATAACCAATTTACAATTTAACTAGTAATCAAACAATAATACAACGCAAAGTTACTACGCCACTTACGCAATTTTCTTTTAACAATTAATAAAAGATATATTCAGGGTCATGGACTTGCTAGAGATCATGCTATGCTTTTAGCTTAAGAATGATTTATTAAATTATCTGGGTTATTGATTATAGGGTTAATAATACTCATAAGAATTTGTCAAATTCTTATGCACCTATTCGAGTTATATTAATACCTATATTTCGATGACATTAATATTAACTCAAAATGCATTAGAATTCCTATTTTTCAACCAAACAAGGCAATTAAGTATATTTCTATCTTAATCGCTAATCTTTCACCCGATCCCCAGGATCAAGATCTTGTTCTATTTGATTCTATGTGCAATCAAGAATTTCCTTTTTCAAGTTTAACTCAAGATTCATAAATAGTATTTCACTCTTAGCTATGCAATAAAATAATTAACAGCAGAATCAAATAAACAATCTATAACGATAAATTCGAGATTATCAATTTAAGCTTCAAACAACATAATCATCTAACATCCATGACCCCAGAATATTTGGGTTTTTAGCCACTCATAATCATACAAATATTAACAATATAAGTCTTAGACATAAAATAAATAAATACAAGAAGAGAGTTTAGAAAAACTCTTTTAATCCTTGCTCCATGTATTGTTCCTCTTGATTTTTGATGCTTCAAGATGAATCTCCTCTTCTTTTTCTCTCTAAAATCAGGTCTCCTCCCCAATAATGGCTGTTTCCCCCCTTTTAATCGTGTAAGAATGGATTTTGATAATTATACCCTTTTTAGACCGAAATAGAGTAGTTCTACAATTTTTACACGTCCGCGGCGCCCCGCGCGATACTCTGTGTGACGCGTACATGGATTGGATAGAGGCATAATACATTTTAACGGAGCAAAACAAATTTTTCGCTGGAAATGCACTACCGCGGTGCCCCACGCAATGCGACAATGTAATTTTATGTGTTGCTTCATTTTTTTCTCTTGTTTTTCTATCCGGGCTTGCTATGCGATCCCCAAACACAATTTCGACTTGATTTATTTAGCTTTTACTCAAACTTCAAAGCCCCCTATTAATCAAATTCATCTCAAATTTAATTCTTAAGTCAGAATCTCTTCCTGCAAGGCATAAAGCATGAATTTAGTACAATTTATTATTAATTAAGCTCAAACCTTTGTAAAATGCAATAATTAAAGTGTTGTTACAATGACTAAAATATGAGTTTTTAGCCTATGATCAATCCCTCTAATCAGTGTCAAATTTGCTTTTTTTAATCAAACTGCGCTTGAATGCAAAAATAGATTTAATCATTCTTATGCTTCTAATGTGCCACCTAAGTCTTTTGCAGCCATGAGCCTAGAAGAAGTTCGTCCTACTACTTGATATCCTAACTCTGGAGCTTCAACCCATATGACCCATTATCCCACTGCTTTATTATCTCCTTCCTCCTACGCCGAATCATCTCAAGTCATGATTGGTAATGGTAATCTCCTTCTTATTCTCTCTACTGACACTTTAACTATTCCTACATCTTCTAGGCCTCTCCTTTTATGCAATGTTATATATGTCCCTTCTCTAAGGAAAAATTTCTTTTCTATTCAACGACTTTATGCTGATAATGATTGCGATATTCAGTTTACTGACACTGGGTTTTTTGTTAAGGACAAGAAGACCAATCAAGTGTTGCTCCACAGTGATAATGTTGGGTCACTTTACCCTTTTCAAGTTATTCTGTCTTTGTCCTCTCACCTTGCTCTTTCCAGTGATGTTTTGTCTCCTATAATTTGGCATCAAAGGTTCGGGCACCTTGGTCAACGATCTCTTGCTGCTTTAGTTCATAGAAATTTGATTCCTTATGTTTCGTCTTTTGACAATAATTCTTGTACTGTTTGTCATTTGGGCAAACAAACAAAATTGCAGTTTAATCTTTCAGTTAGTCGTGCAAATAAACCTTTTGTTGTAGTACATTCTGATGTGTGGCAAGCTCCATTACCCTCAAATTCTGATTATTGTTATTACATTCCTTTTCTTGACGATTACACCAAAGTTTCTTGGATTTATTTGATGCACGACAAATCTGATGCCTTGACAAATTCAAAGAATTCTATTTTATGGTTGCTAATATTTTCCATTCTTCTATTTCATATTTTCAATCAGATGGGGGAAAGGAATATGATAATCCCAAATTTTAAAGTTTCTTTAAGGACCGTGGCATCCTTCATTGTTTCTTTTGTCCTCACACCTCCGTCCAAAATGGACGTGCATAGAGAAAACATCGTCACATTAATAATATTTTGCGATGTCTTTTATTTCAAGCTTCTATGTCATTATCCTTTTAGGCAGATGTTTGTCTTTTTGTTACTTTAATCAATATTTCCCCTCTTTCAGTTCTTAACTTTAGTTCACCTTATGAAATGCTTTTTGAGTGCTCCCCAGATTATAACCTTGTTAAAGTATTTGGTTGCTTATGTTTTCCATTTACTGCTTTTGGTCATAAAAATAAATTTGAAGCTCGTTCAATTCCGTGCTTCTTTCTGAGAACT